AAATGTCAAAACAATGCCAACTTAATGCAAAGACACTATAAAAATGTCAAGACAATGCCAACCTGATGCAAAGACAATATAAAAATGTCAAGACAATGCCAACTTAATGCAAAGACAATATAAAAATGTCAAGACAATGCCAACCTAATGGAAAGACACTATAAAAATGTCAAGACAATGCCAACCTAACGGAAAAACACTATAAAAATGTCAAGACAATGCCAACCTATTGGAAAGACAATATAAAAATGTCAAGACAATGCCAACCTAATGCAAAGACAACATAACAATGTCAAGACAATGCCAACTTCATGCAAAGACAATATAAAAATATCAAGACAATGCCAACCTAATAGAAAGACAATATAAAAATGTCAAAACAATGCCAACTTAATGCAAAGACAATGTAACAATGTCAAGACAATGCCAACCTAATAGAAAGACAATATAAAAATGTCAAGACAATGCCAACCTAATAGAAAGACAATATAAAAATGTCAAAACAATGCCAACTTAATGCAAAGACAATATAAAAATGTCAAGACAATGCCAACCTAATGGATAGACAATATAAAAATGTCAAGACAGTGCCAACCTAATGTAAAGACAATATAAAAATGACAACTTAAGGTTAATATACAAGTGAAAACACTCAAATAAAGCAAATAACACTAATTTTGGCACTGATCTCACCTCATATTTCATCAGCTTTCATTGTTTAGTCATTCACATACTGACACAATTTACTAGTTGCTTTTACAGGCCAACTTATGTTAAACATGGTACTTTGGGATTTCATTTATTTTCATTTATGGTCTAGTCATGTAGATAGCGTTCTCTATCAACAACATCAGACCAAATCCCCAGTGTCGTTGGGAGGGCGCAACTCCTCGACCATGCAGAGTCGAGCTATTTGGAATCACAGGGACAATAATAGTCTTGGTACATAATTGATGCGTCATTATTTGATACTACTCATGTGATCACGTGACAATATGTAACCAATAAAAAAAAGTACTTACATTCTGCATTTGAGGTGCTGCAAAATAGATCGCACTGAGATTGAACGCTTCCATCAACCCCTCAAATGTACGCACAATTTCTTCGCTAGAATTCCTCTTGTAAATATATTGACATCCCCACCGGCATTCCAGGCGTCTTCCGCACCTATGTAATAAAAACAGTGGTTATAAGGGGCGGTTATCGTCACCGCGCCGTGCCGCGTCGTGTTCGATAAAGGGCTCATAGCGAGTTTACATGAAATTCGGACACCGTGACGTAATGCGCGACGACCACTCTTCAATATTAAGATGTACCAAGCAGTATTAGGGACGTAACAATATTATACGAAAAAAACAACATATTATGCGACTTTTCTACTTTTCTTCACTGTCCTTTCCACTTATTTTTAAAAGGACAATTCTAGTACACGATTTTTTTCCGGGGAAACGCTGTCTTCGTTTATTAAACATCCCCTTTCAGTGAAACACTGATATCTTCACGGAAACCATGACCGTATGAGCATGGAGATCAGGTGGCCGGGAGATTTCGCCGCCATAAATTAACCGGCAATAGTTCAAAATCGCCCTTTTGTCAATTTTTTTTCTCGGTTTCGCGTGTACTGTTCAAGAATGAAAAGTCGACAGTCGACTATCACATTTACGTTGTCAATTTTAGAACAAGTTGGAATGATAAAAGTAAGGCTACATGAAAATAATTTTGTCGAATTTGATGTTTCCTTTTTAGGTGACCTTTATTGTGCATGTATATATTTTGGGTGAATGTTGTTGTCAAATCTAAAAACAATTTTCAATTCTATAAATACAGGCTCTCAGAGACAATACAATGTATGACGTAATATAACTGGAAGAAGGTAATCTGTCAGAGCCTACTGTATATGAATATTTTAATAATCGTACTCCAAAAAGCGTTTACAAGCATACATTTCGAACTTGTTGTTAATAGTTTTCGCATTTTCGAATGTTCCTTGTAATACTGGACCGATGCTAAATATGCGGTACCAATACAGTAAATGAGTTGGAATACGTCATGTGAAATGAAGTATATTTATGTAAGTTGTATGAAATGAATATTAAAATCAAAAATTATTTTTAGCGATAGGTATTGTTTACTTGTGCAAGAGATGTAGTGTCCCCGTCAACATGATCTACTACATCGGTCATTTTTTTCTCAAAAAATCGAAAAAAACAAAACAACATGTACGTTATCAGACGCCAATACTTGTTTGCGAACAAATTATGTTAGAAACAGTCGATGATATAACAGACGAGTCTGGTATCATGGTGGAAAGTACAATGATATGTACACGTTTGGGGTATAAAAAAATAAATACTCTAAGGTTTCCATGACAACAACACAATGCTGCATACACTCCCATTTTAACTGTTTACCTACCAAACTATCTTGAACTCATAGTTGAGTCTCCAGTGAACTGCAAGATATCGCATATTTTGAAGAACCGAGCGAATAACCAGATCGGCCATCTTACGAATATACATAGCCCTAGAAAGGTGACTTTCCACCATTTCGAAGATGTTGTTTTGATGAGCATTCATCATTAATTTCATAAAAGGAAACGGGTAGAACATGGCAGTACATTTTGTATCAGTTCTGAATACGTCTTTGGTTGCGAGTAGATAGTCGGAAATAGAATTCTGTGAAAACATGGGTGGTTTGTCTGGTAACATTATGATTGGCATTACCCGTCGCCGATGTGACTCTACCTTCGTTGGAAACTGTACACCAGCTAGAATCTCAAATACCGGAATCATAGTCCGGTAAAGGGAATCAAAATAACAGTTTTTAGAACTGATGCACGGCTTTGTATAAAGAACAGCGTCTACGCGACTATTGCAATCCTTTTTAAATTGTTCCAAACTGGCAATCGGCACAAAACTCTTGAGTAAGTTAACATTGAATGTCTCGTTGAAAGTTCTGACGTCATCCTCCGTGATACGATGGTGATTGAAAAATGGCGGCAGCACAATTGTCTTTTTGTGAATTAAAGCATACAATACAATAGCTTTGAACGCAAGATACTGGTTATTAGGACCTTGACCGATTCCACGGAAAACTGGTAAAATATAATCTGGTCGAGACTGTGCATCTTCGTTGGGTGCCACCATCGGTGCTATATTTGTTTCTGATCCGTCAGACCACTCGTACAACTCAGCAGTCGAATCGTCCGACTCAGAATTGGATGAAGAAAGTATCTAAGAAAAACAAAAAATATTTCGGGACAATTCAACATTTGTATAAATTATTATTATTATTATTATTTTCCATATAATTCCACTTATATGACGACACGCAAAACGTAGTGAAATTGTGCTTGTTCTCGGTTACGAACAACATTTTAACCCGAAATACAACGTGGTTACCCACAATGCAACGATTACTCTCAATGCAATGTGATTACCCATAAAGCAGCGCAATTTTCTATCGTGGCCATTAACTTATACACACGCTAGAAATGCGTCATTGGAAAAAAAATGGTACACATAATATTAAAAGTAGTAGGAAGCTGGCAACTATTTCGACTTGTAATTTGTTATCAAATCATTCCAATGAACCTGATGTGTGGAGCGCCTGATTTGGTAAAAAATGAATCATTATCGCCGCATTCTGTGATATGATTTGAGGGCCCCAATGTATATTTTACCTAATTGAGTTACTATATCGATTACAAATAAAGTCGCATAAAGAGCGTAAAATGCATAAAATACATTTGCCACCTGTTGCCGTGTACACATGTCATTAAGAGTAGATACCCGCATTGAAAAAGCACGCCTGTATCACGTATTTACACAGACATCAACACCACTCATGTGTACGACTGTTTCCACTTCCCGGTTACTAGTATTGCTGATCCGTAAATCTTATTGTCGTATATGGCAAAGCACAGTGCTTTGATACTTACTGGCTGTTGGGATTCGTCTGCCCAGTCACTAACTGACGTCTCCTTCTCTGTATTAGATTCATCGACGGTGTCATCTACTTCTGCTGGTGGTTCGGTTGCGCCAAATGTCACGTGCATTTCAGAAAATTGCTGTTGAAAATTAAATCAATATTATCAAAACGCATATTTCGATTCAAAATATTGTACTTTCACTAGACGGCGAAGCAGACACACAGTGACGAGTCATTATACTAGTATTTGAGAAGAAGAAGTGGTGAGCAAAATTGTACGGGTAATAAGCTTGTACTGTTGGTGAAAATCGCGATAATAAGATAATAAGAATATCCCACAGCAACCACATACTAAATTTCGATGGAGGCCAATTCCATCAAAAACTCACCTTTTTAAAAGAAACTTTTCAAGGAGAACCTACCTCTTAAAGAGGTTAAACATAGCTTTAATTCCCAAAAATTTCAAAGAGTGACCCCCTTGCCCATTTAAATCATAATTTACAGAGCCCATGGATGCTTCGTATAACCGTTAGTAGGTTTCTACTAGAAAAAACTCTCCGGGCTATTCACCCGCCCCACATCTGGGGGACTTCCAACACTCGGCTACTTTTTGTGGACAACATATTGTCATTGGTGGCGCTCTTTACTGTCACAGATGCGGCAGTCAGATGGGATTATGGTACTACATATTGGAAATAGATATTGGAAATAGATAAAAAAAAAATGGTGATACAAGTGTCTGCGCCCTCGCCGATTGTTCGTGAAGTGTAGTCTTTATCGTTCTATATGTCCCAAAATAGACTGAGGGGTATCCAATGTTTTTGTCAAACCAATAGTTGCTTTAAGATTGATTTATGAATGCATCAATTTAAAAAAAAAACGTTACCAGGTGGTTTTGACAGTGACCCTGACATCAGCTATATCAGTCACATGACGTGCACAATTTAGTTGTATTATTTGGAGTGTCCAACCATGAGCCCTACTCGTACGGCTTACCTTCTGTGTCACGTGTTTAGAGCTCACTGGCATTGGTGATGTCAGAATCTCTTCATCATGTGAGTAGTCATTGTCTGTGTCTGGTGGCTCGGTGGCTGGAACAGAATCCTACAAAAAAAAAGTTTAGTCAGTATGCGATTCATAACAATCGTAATATTTACTGGGTACCCCTTTCATCAATATAGTTTCCATGGCAGCAAGTCGGAGCAGGAGCATGGGTTCTATAATTTCCTTTAAATGTTAATTTTCAGGGTCATATGATGAATGGAAGTAAAATGACATATACATGTAGTAGTATATTTCTAGATACAGTCGTTTCTGAGAGTAAATAAATTGGTTATGACGCTCATTGATACCTTGGTATCATCTACATTGTCATCTTCATGATCATCGTCTATTTGTTTCTCTTCCAATGCCATGTTCTCAATCATCGCCATTAATCCTTGTCTATCCTGAGTCGCAGAACGAGCATAATCCTTTTCCGTGACGTCACCATCTGAGTCACGTGATTGGCTTGGTTTAATGGTAGGAAGTGTAATTGATTCATCTAAAGCTGGGTCCTTACGGAGAGAACCAGAGAATGTTATCCATTAGTGTAATTTCTGACGAAACAAAGTGATCTGTTGTGTGTCACTGACTCCGCGATATTTTCGTAGTGGAATGACGAACTTTGCGAATACAGTGTATCGTGTGTAGTGACGTCAGATCCTAGTCTAGTCCAGTGAATTTTTCAAAGTTGATGATAGTTGTTTGAAGTAGTTGTAAAACATATTTATTTTCATTAAACTAATTATTATCGTTTATTATTCACATAAACGAATGACGAGCAGTCATGTTATGAAAATGTTGTCAGGAAACTTTCTGTCCAGTTTTCGTTGAGTATATAAAAGTGCTTTTATATTTCACGCGTTTTATTTCTAATAAGGGGAAATAAGTGGGAGTAATGTTCTAATGTTCTGAATAGTGCGTGTTATTTTTTTGTGTTTTAATGTAATTGGTAATGGGTATTGTGACTCAGTAACATTATATATTGCAACATGTTTCATAATCAGTTATAATTTAAATCATGATATAATTTAAAAAAATAAATACTATCTGTAGTTCGAGTATGTAATCAAATCTGAAATATTTTAGCTCATGAATATTCATGAGCAGTTTGTAAGATAATCACCAAAATAACAAGTGGTGAATTGTTGTAAAACCAAGTTTGTGCAGGTGCGGCCAGTGTGGATTGACGCGAGCTGGTGACGCTACGTGTCCTAGCCTCTCATGTTTCTTTCATGTTGGCGACGATACTACTTTAGTATAGTTTCAGCGGAGTGCACCTAAAATCATATTTTGTATTTATTTGTATTTGTATTTATTTATTTACACCAGAAAAAGAAAATATACATAACACAATTAATTTTTCTTTTTTACCACTGCAAAGGATTCTGGTGTGGGTCATGGAAATAGCTCATTTGAGCTAGTCGAGTCCTAGACCCGGAATAAGAAATAATACTGTACTGACGTGCGGATTATCATAAATTTATCATATACATATATTTTTATCGTGAAGTGGCGCAACATTATAGTTCAATTACTAAATAT